GGGAGGAGCGGAGTGGACGGTTAGGGTGATATTTTGAGACAAGGTCTGAGATATATCCGGGGGCAGAGTTGTGGATGGCTTTATAAGTTACTGTTAATATTTTGAATTTTATCCTCTGGGCGAGTGAAAGCCAGTGGAGAGATTGAGAGGGGGGATGAGATGAGGCGAGGATGCTGGAAACAGCAATAATGTTTACAATTAGTGATCTGCTGTGATTGGTTTTCAGCAATCACACAGAACAAAGCTGATTTCACCATCTCTGCTACAATTTATTTAAACGACAATGTCCAATTGACAGCGTGTTTAAAGTTGATTGCTCGTGACCATGCTAGGGGGTGCGCACGAGCTAAACAAATTAAAAAAAGATGACTATGTACATGATCCCGCCAGGAGCCGACAGCTGTCCGAATGTGTAATGATAGTGGGTGTACGGCAGCTGGTTAATATATATGGAACTTTGGAGGATTTTTCTTAAGGCCATTTATTTTTGTCTTTTTATACTATAGTCACCAGAATATTGTTTGTAAGGCAGTAGAAAATACTAATGTAGCATCCCAGAGGTATCACCTTAACTAGAAGTGGCATATCTTCCCGTAAATGGCTTTTAGAGTTATAGCACATAAATACTAAAGGTGTGGTATTGTATTTCCCCTTAGGTGAAAGTCAAAAAAAGCTTGGCGAAATGTTCTGCGTGTCAGTTTTGTTTGTGTCTCTTAGGTACATTCATTCAAATTGTCATTATATCATCTCCAGGCAATGTTTGGCAGCATGTTCCAGATGGAAATCCAAACAGCACTGTAAGGAATGCACTTGAGAAGTGGTCTACAACAATGTTCAACTTTGGACTGTCAGAATAATCAAGCTTCCTATTGAAATGGAAAAGCAGTATGTGCTGTGCTTCACCCAAAATGGAACAAATAACTTGCATGACAATTCCACTATTTGGATAATTAATTCCAGCTGTATCTCCGTCTTCATAAATGTGGTTACAGTTTTGGTGTGCCTGTTGTATAGGAAAGGATTGCACAAGCATGCAAATATAATAGCATATGGAACCAAAACTAAATGTCCAAATAATAGCACTGATGAATGTTAATGTCTGTAAAAATGTCCATGAAATTTTTTTAACTTCCTATTTTTATCAGACCAAAATAGACTTTCAAAAACAAAAAAAAAATCACCCAATGTTGCTTTTGTAAATCGAACACTTCATCTTTACATTTAGGCCATTCGTGTAAATTAATTTCAACTAAATTAAAGTTTAAACCTCTGCTAGAGGGATTACTAGCAGGACATTTCCAAGAGATTTGAAGAATTAAAATATAACATTTTGTACTTAAACTGCATGAATCCAATGGATGCCAGTAACCAAGCTGTTATCCACTTCAATATTAGGAGTGCAAAGCTAATAACACGATCTCTAGCTGTCATAGTATGCATTATGTTATTATCCATTATTATAACTGGTTGAACATGGGTATTTATTTTATCATGAGCCCTGCAGTAAACAGTACTGACTACGAAAATGTGGCAGCCACTACAGCTTGTGTCCTAATAAAAATATTTTCATATGAACTATGAAATAAAATACACTGTTGTCTATTAAACCACTAGAAAAATGATTGCAAATCCTTTTGACCTTTTTGTATATATATTGTATATGTATATGTATATATA